TTGTTGCAGCATCATACAGATGCATGTTGTTCAGATCATCTGGCATATCCAGATATATGCCCAAAGAAGAGGTTGAAAGTGTGTTGGGAAAAGGCTTGCCTGTATTGGTCTTAGGTTTGCCACCCTCCAGGTGGGGCTTGGGGATCTCCCGCTTTTACAACTGATCTCCAGCTGACAGAGGTCAGCTTCCCTGGAGAAAATGGCTGCTTTGAAAGGTGGACTCTATGGCATTGTACCATGCAGAGGCTCCTCCCCTTCCCAAACTCCGCCCTCTACTGGCTCCACCCCCAAAGTCTCCAGGTATTTTCCAACCAGGACCTGGCAACCCTAATTGGTCTCTTGCCTAGTACTCTTAAAACCAGGCTTTACCTGTCTGTGGCAGATTATTCTGTTGGATTTCCTCCAAGTCCCACTGCCATTCCCTTCCTGCATCACACTGAACACTCTCTGCTCTGGGATCTAGACTGGCTCCAGTCTCATGTGCCACGAACTCATTACAGAGCAGCAAGCATGATGTGCTTCTAGTGACTTCCTGAAGCCCTGGGATGTCCTGTCCCTTCAAGAACAGGCTAAGCCTGTCTGCCTACCTTTAGCCTCCTTGAGTTTACATAACTTGCTCCCTCCTCTGTATCTGAGAAGTGTTCCCAGAGGCCTTCCCACTTAATTTTTTTTTAAGTTTAAAAGGACTTTTTTTGCCATTGAGTCACAACTGGCTTATGGTGACCCTGTAGGGCAGGAGTGTCAAACATGCGTCCCGGGGACCGGATCAGGCCCCCGGAGGGCTTCTATCAGGCCCGCAGTGGAACTGGCTGTCTTCTGCTGCTTCTTCCAGTTCTGCTGCTGCTGCTGCATCATTGTAGGTTTGCAGCTTACAGATACACACCTGAACAGCGTACTCAGGATTGCAGCAGCACAGACATTTTGGTGCAGTAATTCAGAGCAAGAGGTGTCAGTAATCAGACACTGTTAAATAAGCAAAATATTGCAAGAGTGCTAATGTTTTAAGCATGTTTTTATTTTAAGTAAAAAAACCTTTGTGTTTGTGTCTTTAATGAAGTTTATATTGCCACTACCTGGCAGTAAATTTTATGACACACTTGGCCCGGCCCAACAAGGTCTCATTTATGTCAGATCCGGCCCTCATAACAAACCCTGCTATAGGGTTTTCAAGGCAAGAGATGTTCAGAGGTGGTTTGCCATTGTCTGCCTCTGTGTAGTGACCCTGGACTTCCTTGGTGGTCTCCCATCCAAATATTGACTGGGCCTGACCCTCCTATATTTTGGACTATCCAGGACAGGGATTTAAAGAACTTACAGCCATGAAAACAAGGAGCCTAAAATCATGAGCAAATGGTAAAAACCCACTTTGGTTGCTTCCAACTGCTCAGAAAAAGAGGGGGAAAGGGGGAAATTTATGTTTGAACAGAAGATAATGACATCCTTTAATCACATTGCCTTTATTGTTGTTTTTGGATTTGGAAATTTATGGCGACCCTGTAGGCAAAAGGTGAACAGAGGTTGCCTCTGTGCAGCAACCCTAGACTACCTTGGTGGTCTCCCATCCAAATACTCACCAAGGCTGGCCCTTCTTAGCTTTTGAGATCTGGCAAGACTCTGGCTGGAATATTAATGAAAACACAGTACTTCTTTCCCTTGAAAGTCAAACAGTGAGTAATATCGTTTTAAACCACCCCTTGCTTTTTAAAATGACTTTGGAAATTGTATCATGACTGTGGCCACCAGTTGGCTGCCCTGACATTCAAATAGTAAAATATCAAAGCATGATTCATGCTTTGTGTTGGAAAACCTACCTGTGTATTGGAAAACCTATCTCCTTGAACACCTTCATGTTCTTCTCTGCCGGGTATTTCATAGTGCCCTTGCATTAATCTGTTGCTGCAACTGTTGAAACACTGTTTATGGTTCCCCTGGAGGGTGACTTGAAAGGAGAGGTTGGGGCTTCAGCAGCCAACTGTGGTCTGCGCAGATCATTGGGCAAAAGTTGAGAACCTTATCTTTGTAAGAACCAGTGGAGCATGGCATTATTGTGCATTGAACTGCTGCCCTCAAATGTCTGATCTAAAGACTGATAATGTGGGAAACTTAAATCTAGCTGAGAGAGTCTTATCTGTTCACTGTGAAAGGCATTAACTGCTTTTCCTTTTTTTCCATATTGAAAACAAAGTGTTAAAAGAGCAAATAAACTTTGTTTTCTTTCCACTGGGGGAAGTTAAAAAGTGGCTGAGAATCTTGTAGGATTGATGAGGCTTGGCTTGTCACTATCTGCAAGGCCTGGCTTGGCTCTGAAAGCTGAACCACATTCTGATGCTGGATTTCCAGGTTTTGAGCTTCCAGACTGTGTCTTTTGGTCCTTTAAAAAAAGCCCCCAAACCCCCTGATGTAGGAGTGCAGGGGAGAAGGAATTAGAAGAGACATCTGAGCCCTTGGCCCATCAACCTCTAGAAGCCTCTTCTGGCATCTACCCCTGGTCTGAAATGTACCCTAGTAAAGAGCAAGCATTCTCAGGAGAAGGATTAAGATCTCAGGGTGAGAGGACAGTGCCTCCTATTTTTCTGCTTCTGCTGATAGCTTCATCCCCAGGTTCAACAGACTCCCTCTTGGGCCCCTAGGTACAGCTGGGCTCAGCACCCTGTTCCGCTAAGTCCCGCCCTCTGATCTGTGAGTCACTGTACCTTAGTCCTCAAGTTCCGCCCCCGAGTCTCAGGTTCCAAACTCCAGGGAACTGCCATAGCAACCCTGGTGATGGTTAGTGAGTGTAGCTCTCAGAATCTCCCTGCAGAGGACCAGCATTCCCTTTGAGGCTTGGTGAGTGAGAAGATAATGTGTGGAGAGGCAAACAAGCATTTTGCCACTTGGGGGTGCTTGTGGAGGGAGGAGGGCAATTGTCTCTTATCCCCAGTGAATGGCAAATTTAGAAGCCAGCATTAATCACTTTGACTGCAAGGACATCAGGTTAGTTCAAAATGAAAAAGAGACAGGGATCCCACTGGTTGTCCAGTTAACTGAACTGGGTAGATATCATGCCATCTGTGCAAGAACAGTTACAGGCAGCTCATTGAACAAACAGTGCAGTAGGCAAAAATGTGGGAGGCAGAGAAATAGCTACAAGTTAGAGGCAGTAAATAAATAGAAAGGAGCAAGGTTTAATGTGGGTCCAGGGCTATTTTTGGCAGGAACGCACAGGAACGGAGTTCCGGCTGGCTCCTGAGTTGGCCACGCCCAGCAGGAGCTCATTAGCATAACAGGCCACACCAAACAGCAGAAACTCATTAGAATTGGGTACATTAGGGGTGTGTGGCCTAACATGCAAAGGAGTTCCTGTTACAAAAAAGGCCCTGGGTTTTGACAACAAACAAGGTAAACAGAATACGAAGCAAAAGGTGGGTGTGGCTGGATGACCACACGTCTGGTAACACAGGGTGTGGCCTAATATGCTAATACGCTGTACTATCAGGGGTTTGGCCTAATATGCTAATGAGTTTCTGCTGTTGGGTATGGCCTATTATGCTAATGCGTTCCTGCTGGGCTTTTTCTACAAAAAAAAGCCTTGTGTGGGTCTATTTCTGGTTCTGAGGTCCCGTTCTGGAATCTGAGAAAAATGTAGCACCGCTGAGCATGTGCAGAGTGCTTTTCCTTTGTCATGCCACCCAGTTTCCAAACACCTAGACTGGGGGGAGGAAGTCATCTGTTTTTAAAAAGTAAAGCCCAATCTGTGTGCTGCAACAGTGCCTACTTTGCCATCATAGATCAACAATAAGGTTGTGTGAGCTTCAATGTATCCTTAAAGAGACGGTATGATTTACTGTTGTCCCTCTGTATGATTTACTGCTGGCATCTGGCCAGCCTTTTCTGGAGACAAGTCATTCTGCTGTATCTTTGTACCAAGTGTGCTGCCTGCATCTTTGTCAAAAGCCAGGTTTACAATCTTTTTTCTGTAGCCATTCAAAGTTGTGCAGCCAACTCATGTCAGGACTTTTGTTCCAAGACGTTGGTTGGGGGTGGGAGGGTCAGTCCCAGCAGGAAAGGCAGAGTACAAGAATGATGGCTGCAGAAAAGCTTCATCTGTAAATCAGGGCATTATAAATGGAGTGAAGCTGGCATCTTTCTTGACTTTGCTCTATTTAACATATTTGTATCCAGCTTAATTTCCTTAGACTCAAGGCAAGCGAGACCTTGGGCATGTGAGTCTTGTAAAAATGGAGCTCCTGTACACTGTCAGCCCATTGGCCCAGCTGGCTTAGCCCTGTCCCCTGTGAACAATGCTCCTGGCCTGTTGGGTCTTTCGGGGACTGATTCTGGGATCTTCTTGAAAAACAGGTGCCCTGTTAGTGATCCCTGGGTTCCTGAGCAGATCTCTACCACTGGGAAACTAACCTGTGACCTTCCTCTCTCAAAGGAGGTACCCTGTCACTAAGTCAGGGTCGCAAGCAGATATTGGCCTAAAATCCCTTTACATGGATGCTGGGAATTGAACCTGGGAACTTCTGCATACAAAAAAGGTGCCCCATGGCCCCTCCCTACAAACATATGCTTTCTTCTGATACAGCAAAGCTAGATGTCTAGCCTAAACTATACTCCAGATATTGGTGTTCTGGTTTTGGAAGCTTGTTGAGTCTGAATCCCCGAGGGCACTGGGTGGATGCATTTGATTGTTGATTTGTTTAAACAAAAAACATCCACTTTACTGAGAAAGAAATCTCCTCCTGAGGCATGTGCCCCACCTCTTCCCTTGTAGCTATACTCTAGAACGTGCATGGCTCTATTAGCCTAGCTACGAATGGGTGCTCTTGCGGCTGTCCTGAAGCAGCTGTTATGACTGACAGCCACCCTGTCACACCCACACTCCCTAGATCCACATAAAATGCACAACCTTCCTCCAGCAGCTGGGACTGTTGTGGGCATTCCTTACTCTGGCCAGAGACTCTCTGTGACTCCTCTGGGTTGCTGTTTTTGCTGAAGAGCAGGAGATCAGTGAAGCTATGGCAAGGATCAACCTGATGGCGAGGAACACAGACATGCGCCGGCGCCTGCCACTGGTGTGCCTGCTTTGGGAAGTGGCCATGATCATCCTCTTCGGGGTCTTTGTGCGCTTTAACTCAGAAGCTGATGCAGCTGGCTGGACAGAGAAGAAGTATGAGGAGAACATTACTAGTGACACTGAGAACGAGTTCTACTTCAGATATCCATGTGAGTCATATTAAACATACTACTTATTAATACCATTTCTTTTTTCCTCACATGTAGACCCTGCCCAGACTTCTGGGTGGCATATTTGAGTACATGAAAGCTGTTTTCTACTGGCCACCAGTGTTCCCTCTAAGCTGAGTTAGTGTGAGCTAGCTCACAGTTTTTTAGCCTCCAGCTCACACATTTTTGTCCTAGCTCAGGAAGGATGGCTCCAGAGCAAACTAATTTATGCAGTAGCCACATTGCTTGCTCACAACTTTAATGCCAGGAGCTCACAAAGTAGAATTTTTTCTCACAAGACTCCACAGCTTAGAGGGAACATTGCAGTGGCCACTGGTTCACCTTCACCTGGATAGTCTACTCTGGACCAACAAAGGCACTGCAGACCTTTGGACAGAGGCTTTTCTTGAGGCAGCTGCTGCCTAAGGTCCTTTTAACAAGCTATCTTGGTGATTAAAGCTGGGACCCTCTGTGTATGCTCCACCACTGCCATGTGCCCCACAAGCTTCTGAACGAAAGAAACAGTCTTGCAGTGAAGTCATTGCCTCCCACCCCCACTATTGTTTCCTCTTGACTAGAGGCCTCACTCCGAAGTCTCAGGGGCAAATGGTGTGTGATGCTGGGGTTCTTAACACTCATCCCCAGATGTATAAAACTTCAACTTTCTCTCTGACCAGATTGGGGCCAACAGAGCTGGGGTTGGGGTGCTGAACTCTTATTTTATTTATAATTCACGTTCATAGACTGGCGTACCCCTGCATACACACGACTCAGGGTGGTGAATCTTCATCCCCATATGCTGATTGATGGAGTTTTAAAAAAGTGTTTGTTATTAAAATAAGGCTATTTTACTGAAGGGGCTCACTGTATGGCCCATTTTCAAGGGCTCCACCCCACCACCCCATTCTCCGCCATTTGGGCCTCGAGGTCCTTGCAAGGGCAGCAAGTCCCTTTGGACCCTGTTGGATGTTGTCCTATTGTTGCTGGTTGAGAAGGGGCCCCCATAACAGCAGGGTCCCAAAAATGTAGGTCCGCCACTGCCCTGCGTGCCGAACTGAAGATTGTTGAGCCCAGATGACGTGCATGCAAAGCTGCTTCTGACTTGTTGATTTCCCCCACCTGTGGCTATGCATGGAGGTTGTCCCTTCTTTATCCTCTTAACAAACTCTGTGAGGTTAACTTAGGCTGAGGTGATGGGGACCTGAACCCAGGATGCCTGTCCCTTGCTTTCCAGAGCTAACAACAGCCGGGGGGAGAGGCAGTACATACGTTTTTACTTCCTGCAAACAGTGCTCTAGGTGGGGCAGTTTACTTTCTAGTCCTACCAAGTCCTATCCTGCCAAGAGGATGGGATAGTAATGCATTGTCAAGAGTTTAGGCAGCCAACAAGAACTGCCATTCTGGAGACCCAGCCCTAAACAGGGATTTACTTCAGTTCCCCTCGGCATAACATTGCAATGTGGTCTACCTTGTTTGTGAATTGCTTCAGTGGAAATAAAACGAAGATTCTGATTTCCTGTTAAACTAACCTGAGTTTTTCCAGTCAACCTTTACAGTGGCATTAACACGCTGGTATTAAGTGCCTGATTTACTGCACTTGGGGGGGAAATCACATGTCCTCCGCTTAGGTTTCCTAAACAACTCACTTCATTAAACATGAGAATTGGCTTAGAATTGGCAATCCTAGATCAAGCCAGACTTGGGTTAATAATTAAATGTCTTCAGATTCATGCAACATTGTTACAAAATATCCCCCCTTCCTCTTTCTGGGGAAGGGCCATGGTTGTATAGTAGAGCATCTGTTTTGCATGCAGAAAGTCCCAGGTCCAATCCCTGGCATCTCCAGTTAAAAAGGACCTTGGCAACAGATGATCTGAAAGACCTCTGCCTGAGATCCTGGAGAGTATCTGCCAGTTAGAGTAGACAAGACTGACTTTGGTAGGAAGTGGCAGGTGTATGATAAGTCACATAGTATAACACAGCTTCATGTGTTCAACTAATGCTATAGGAAGGATAAAATATGCTAGGTATGAACCAGGCTGTCTCCATGAATGCTATGTTTCCGTACTGTTTATGCAATCCAGAGTGAGACATCTTGTTTCCTTTTCACAAGGTTGGAGGGAGGTGTGCATAGAATTTATTTGTATCCTGCTTTGAAGCCAAACACTGTTTCAGTCCTCTTCCTCTGTTCGGACTTGTTCTTTTGTTCTGCATAGAAATGCAAATGACACTTTTAAAATTTAGCTTTAAATCTTATGGGCATATAATGTTATTCCAATTTAAGAAGACCTTCTCCATTAAAAAAATGAGTATCCTGGCCTATCCAAGGAGAGAGTAATTAGTTTCAAAGCCTGTTTGACATGGGTGATTCATCTCTGGTAATTCTTAAACAATTGTGCAATCATTCTTCAGTCAAATCTCTTTTTGTGCTTTGTGCTTCTCTAAACTTTTTGTTTTTTGAAAGACTTGATTTTTGCCTTTGGGATTCAGCATCTATGGCTGAAGTCCACAAAATTCTCAACCTTATAACTGATTTTAGTTACAAGCATGGTCTGATGAGCTTGGAAAAGTCTTTAAAACAAATTGAGCAGCCCAAATTCTGGGGGTCTCATATGGAGTTATTCCCCTGATTTGGATGCTGAACTGCAGCATTTTCCCCTCAAGTTTCCTCTTGACCTTGTTGCCAGTTTTGTTGCCTCTCCACGGTTTCCTTGCCATTCCTCCATGCTTTCTCGAAATTGGTTTCAGAAAGCATGTAAAAACTATGAAGAAACAGCAGAAATACAACCATGTTGGGAAGTAGTTTGGAGGTAAACTGCTGCATTTCAGTTCCCTTGTGACAAAGAAATCTTTGTGTGAAAGTCAGACCTAATTCCCAGATGCATCTACCAGTTACATTTACCTGGTCAGCTTATATGTGAAGCAAGATGTGGACATTAATCCAGGTGCTAGGAGGAAGCCTAGACAGCTAGCATATTGGAAATAAATGCTCAGCCTAGCCTCCTCCCCCTGGCACACTAGTTTTCTGTGTTCAGGGAGCTACTTTTATGGGAGGGTGAACACTGATGCTGTTGTTTGCATGTAGCATTTGTACGGTTCTTTGACTGGTTAAAGCACTCTGGTTTAATCCTTTCAACAGCCCTTGGGTAAGCCAGTATCATTATCCCCATATTGCAGATGGGGTGGCTGAGGCTTAGGAAGAGTGGCTTGCCTGCGACTCTTTAATGACCTTGTTACTGAGACAAAATCTGAACCTTCTAGATCACAGATGAGCCACTGTGCTGCACCACCTCACACTAGGCTAAGATTAAGAGATGTGAGTACCAACAAAGGCATGTGTTATTTGTTCCGAAGCTCTGTTTTCTATTCTGGCATAGTGGAACTCTCACCACTGAAAGGATGTAATGATGGCCACTGTTTTAGATGTCTTCATTCCTTACTTTTCTCCCCAGTGGGGACCCAAAGTGGTTTACAGCATTCTCCCCTTCTCCATTTTATCTTAAAATGTGACTAGCTCAAGATTGCCCAACAAGTTTCCAAGGCAGAGTGGGGATTCATACCTCCCAAATCCTACTCCAGCACTGACCACTAGTACATTGCTATTACTCTCTTTTGGCAAATTCATGGAGAATAGGTCGATCAGTAGCCATGAACCAAGATACCTACTTGCAGCCTCCATGTTCTACTGAACATGGAGGTTGCAAGTAGGTCTCTGAATGTCATCTGATATCTATGAATGTCATCTGGTAGGGAAGGACACATAGCTGCTGTGTTCCTGATTGTATGTCTTTTGTGGTGTCTGGTTGTCTACCTTTGGAAATAGGGTGCAGCATTAGATGGGCCAGTAGGTATAATTCAGTAGTGTTTCTGTTATGTTCTTAGCAGCATAGGAATTTGCTATAATTTTTCCATAGTGGAAGAGGAGTCATTTTGTCCTTCAGGAAAATGTGCTGAAAGAATCCTTTCTTGAAGGTGCTACTCATGAGTCCCATAATCCAAATAATAAGTTTCTTTCTTTTTTTTTCTCTTTCAAATAATAAGTTTCTGATACTCAGATTGCACAGCTAAGCAAAAACTCGGACGCTAGTTCCTCTAAAAGCATTTATGGCAATGTGGAAGTCATGATTCCACATGTCACCCACATCACAGGCAAAGGTTTTAATCCTTCTCCAGTTTTCAGAAATGCCCTGTTTTTCTGCATAACACTTGTTCCATTCAGTATTCCACCCTTGGAGCCCCTTGGAGCTTCCTCCACCATTTGAAAAAGGAAGTTGTCAGCTAGACAGGTCAGGAAGTTGTGTGATTCTTGTCGCTATGTTGAGCCTGTCTCCCAGCACACATCGGGGAAGTTAAAGTCTCCCATAATTATAAGGTTCTGATGTCTGGATACTCTACCAATCTGTTCAAGGAGGGCAGCATCCATTTCCTGTCTCTGGTCAGGTGGTCTGTAGCAGACTCCAACAACAATACCCTTTGTCCTACCTCCCCTTATTTCCACCCATATACTTTCCACATTCTCCAGAACTTCCTGACAATCTAGCCCTCTCTTCACATACAGCACCACTCCGCCTCCTCTTCTACCCTTCCTGTTTTTCTTGAACAACTCATACCCATCCACTACCACATCCCAGACATGGGAATCATCCCACCAAGTCTCAGTGATTCCTATTATATCATAGCCCTCTGTTTGCAAGAGAATCTCAAGCTCTTCCTGGAGAGCTTAATCAGGAGATCTTAATCAGGAGATCTTTAAAATGAAGCCGCAAGGGGAAGGGGACAATCAACATGGGGGCTTCAATGAAGAAGAGAAAACGGGGGGCACCTGGGTAGGACAGGTCAAACAAAGGTACAAGGCTACGAGTGCCCTTATACCAAAGCCCATAGTATGGGTAATAAGTAGGAAGACTGTAAACTAAATATGAGCAATCAGTGTGATGCGGTGGCAAAAAAGGCAAATTCAGTCTTGGGTTGTATTAAAAGGGCCATAGCATCGAAATCGCAGGAGGTCATAGCCCCTCTGTATACTGCCTTGGTCAGGCCGCACCTGGAGTACCGTGTGCAGTTCTGGAGGCCTCACTTCAAAAAGGATGCGGACAAAATCGAGAGGGAGAAGAAGAGAGCAACAAGGATGATCAGGGGTCTGGAGATGATCAGGGCACACCCTATGAGGAAAGGCTAAAGGCCTTGGGAATGTTTAGTTTGGAGAAGAGGAGATTGAGGGGGGACATGATTGCTCTCTTTACATATTTGAAAGGCTGTCATTCAGAGGAGGGCAAGGAGCTGTTCCAGTTGGCAGCAGAGGATAGGACCCGAAGCAATGGGTTTAAATTACATGCAGAAAGGTATCGGCTGGATATTAGGAAAAACGTTTTCACGGTCAGAGTGGTTCAAAGGTGGAATCAGCTACCTAGGGAGGTGGTTAGTTCCCCTCAGGGCTCTTTTTGTAGAAAAAGCCCAGCAGGAACTCATTAGCATATTGGGCCACACCCAACAGCAGGAACTCATTAGCATATTGGGCCACACCCCTGACAGCACAGCTCATTAGCACATTAGGCTGCACCCACATGTTACCAGAAGTGTGGTTATCCAGCCACACCCACCTGTTGCTTGTTATTCTGTTAACCTTGTTTGTTGTCAAAACCCAGGTCCTTTTTTGTAGCAGGAACTCCTTTGCATGTTAGGCCACACACCCCTAATGTAGCCAATCCTAATGAGTTTCTGCTGTTGGGTGTGGCCTATTATGCTAATGAGTTCCTGCTGGGCGTGGCCAACTTGGGAGCCAGCCGGAACTCCGTTCCTGTGCGTTCCTGGCCAAAAATAGCCCTGGTTTCCCTTCACTGACAACTTTCAAGAAGAGGCTGGACGAATATTTGTCAGATGCTTTAGGCTGGTCCTATACTGGGCAGAGGGTTGAACTAGATGGTCTGTATGGCCTCTTCCAACTCTATGATTCTATGATTGTCTCCTCACATACAGAGCCACTCTGCCTCCTCTTCGATCCTTTTGGTTTTTCTTGAACAACTCATATTCATCCACTACTACATTCCAGTCGTGGGAATCATCCCACCAAGTCCCTGTAATGCCTTCTATCCCTCTGTCTTCATTAGAAGCTCAAGCTCTTCCTTCTTATTGCCCAAACTTTGAGCATGGGTACATAGACACTTGAAGCCCTACACCTTTGGCTCCATTAGACCCGACCCTCACAGGTGGGCCTCTGTTGTTTGCTCTCCTTCGTTTAAATCCTTACGTTGGTCATCTCTTTCCCCTTGTGGTGTCAGTTTAAAATCCTCTTGATGAATCTCTCCAGGTTTCTGCCAAACACATTCACTAAGGCTGATTTCTATCTCCAGAAAACAATGGAGGGGCAGCAGCTAGCAAGAGATTTCAAATTGCTATTCACTAAATGCCAGGTACATGGTGCAAATGTCTCCATATAATGGTGGTGGATTTTAAAGATATTTTTCAGAGGAAAACAAAAAAGGAAAAAGGTCTCAAAATCTAGAATCTTCTGGTTCTATTGGTTTTTGAGTGGCTGAGCTGTACATTCCGTTAATAGAAATCCCTACCACCACCACACTGCAGTCATGTTCACACATTCTTTTTACCATTTTTTCAAGAGTACTTTGTGAGATTGGATCACAGATCTCATGTAATATGCAATTTGAATCAGTCCTATTTTCTCTCTCAAAATCCAGACTCCTTTAACATTCTCTTAAGAAAGAAAAAGGCCTGCGCTTCTGTCAGACTCGGGCCCTGGATTTATTGTCTTTGTACTGTTAACGCTTGGTTTCGCTTTTGTATCCCTGCTTGTTAGGCACATCTGTTATTGCTCTATGCCCTTATCTTTTGCCCTCACTGACATGACATTTCAAAGGGGGGGAGTAAGTGTGAGTGTGATTGCCTGTAGGTAAGGATGCGACTTTTGTAACTCTTCTTCATGCAGCCCTCAGGAAGTTCTCAGATTTCCGCATGAGATCCGACCTTGGGAGAGATAAGATGTTGAGCATGGCTAGTTAGGTCGTATATCTCTCATGACTGGTAGTGACGCTGGTGTATGCATGGAATGTGGGACCCCATCTTTATTCCTTGGCTTGGCATTCCCAGTTCTGACAAAGATGTTCACCTCTATAGTTAACCAGATCTTTTCAATAAACTTTCAAAAGAAAGACTGTGCTAAGAGTTGTTCTATTGGGAGTCTGACAGCTTCTGAGCAATTTAATTTTTAGAATAATAAGCCTTAGGGTATAGCTCAAGTGCTTTACATACCCTAGTTCAGAAATCTTTATAGTAATCTCTGTAAAAATAGACTAAGACAGTCGTGTCTGTGAATCACACTTGGATCCCATCCTCCCTCTGAGCTTAGGGCAATAAATGTTTATCCCATTTTTGTTTTTGCAGCCACCACCCTGGTTAGTTGGTTACATCAAGAGAGACTGACTCGAGGTCATCCACTGGGTTTTGTGGCTAAACCCACATCTCCCTGCTCCAAGTCCATTGTCCTATCTCCACATTATGGATGAGGCAGAGAGAATTGTAGTGGCTTCCCTAAAGCTGAGTTAGTTCACAGCTCATCATCTTAGGAGGTGCTAGGGTCCCCAGCATCTCAGACCTGAGGTCTGGTGTTGTCACATTGAATAGCAGTATTAATGGTAACTCTTCTGCATATCACTAAGAATTGTATTAGAGGGTATCTGTGGACCTATGGACTCACAATCATGTGACTTTGATGAGAGAATCAATGTAGGTATTCGGTAAAGGCCCTGACTGGGATGGCTCAGGCTAGCCCAATCTCATCAGATCTTGGAAGCTAAGCTGGGCCTGCCCTGGTTAGTACTTAGATGGGAAACCACCAAAGAAGTCCAGGGTTGTCATACAGAGGCAGGCAATGGCAAAGCACTTCTGTTCATCTCTTACCTTGAAAACCCCCAGGAGGAGTCAGCTTAACAGCACTGTCCACCACCATTGGGTAAAGGCCCTTGTTGCCTGAAATTGGAGGGCAGCTGCTAGTCATTGGCAGGACAAAGTCTGGTTTGTTCTGCCACTGCGTTATAATGATTGCAAAAGACTGATTTACACAAGTATGTCAATTACTTGTTTTCTCTGTGTGCAGTAACTGAGAGCTTGAATGCATAAACTGATTCTCTGGAAAAAGGACTGTGTGTCAGACAGCAAAACAATTCTGTCTGAGACATCATAACTGTGATGGCTAGTTTGCATACAAGTCATCCCTAGATGTTGTAGTCATCAGGTGAAAAGCATGTATATGTGTGAAGTAGTCCTCACTGTGAAGTGTGTTGGTCGCTACTCATGCAAATGAGGCCTGAGATGAAGATGGGGATACCCAAACTTGAACAAGTCTGCTTTTCTATAATGCAGCTTTCCAAGATGTCCATGTGATGATTTTTGTGGGCTTTGGCTTCCTCATGACATTCCTTCAGCGCTATGGCTTTGGAGCTGTTGGCTTCAACTTCCTCCTGGCTGCCTTTGGGATTCAGTGGGCTCTCCTAATGCAGGGCTGGTTCCATACTTTTGAGAATGGGAAGATAGTCATTGGAGTTCAAAGGTAAGAGCAGGTTTGGACTTTGGGGGTGGTAGAGAAATTCTTTTCTTGGTTGGGCTTTTTATGGCACACTGACTGAAAAAGACAAGAACCCTGTTGAGAGACAGTACAAAATGAATCTTAGTACAAAAGTCAAGTCAGATCATAGCAGTAGGGCCCAAATCCTGCAATCTGAATTGCTGTAGTACATTGCACTTTCTCATTTCCTCTTCACTTTGCCTGATTTTCCCATTGGGATTAGCAGAATTGGATGGACCATTCATGAAAATGAACTTTGTGGCTTAAGCACCATTTGAGCAAAAACAAAACAAAAACAAACCACAAATAGTCCATGCCCCTCCCACTCTTAAAATTTGACAGGGAAAGGGGAGAAGACAGAATATCAGATGATCTACATTTGATGGTTTGGTCATTGCCGTGTCTCCACAGGCCCTGACCTGGATGGCCCAGGCTAGCCTGGTCTTTGCAGATCTTGGAAGCTAAGGAGGGTTGGCCCTGATTGGTACTTTGATGGGAGACCACCAAGGAAGACCAGGGTAACTACACAGAGGCAGGAACCTTTTACCTTGAAAATTGTTTGAGATCGCTATAAGTCGCTGCAATTTGGTGGCACTTTCCACCACCACCATCCCTCCAGAGAGCTCCCAGTATTTAAGGTGGTTTGGTTTCCATTATTTTATGTTGCTCTTTTCCTGCCCTATGTTGACTCTTTCTCCTCTTCCCTTCAGCTTGATTGGTGCTGATTTCTGCGTAGGTTCCGTTTGCATCGCATTTGGTGCTATTTTGGGCAAAGTCAGCCCTGTTCAGGTGCTCATCATGACTTTGTTTCAAGTCACCCTCTTCTCTGTGAATGAATACATCCTGCTGGACCTGCTCCACGTAAGCCTATTCTGTTCTGCTGGGTTAAAACAAACAAATAAAAACAAAAGGAAATCCAGAGACTCTGTGTGCTGCTGTCCAGTCTCTGTGAGAAAAAAAAAATCAGTCTAATGTCTTTTTCTCTATCACCAGTATATATGGGGCAAGGCAGGCTACATTGATCTGGATGGCCCAGAGTCATCAAATCTCGTAAGTTAAGCAGGGTTGGCCTGAATGGGAGACAACCAAGGAAGTCCAGGCTTGCTATGTCGAAGGCAGGCAATTGGAAACTTCCACTTGCCTTGAAAATCCTATGGGATCACTAAGTCAGCTGCAACATGACAGCATTTTCCACCACCCGTGATCAATAGCATGATGCCCATGGGCAACATGGTGTTGCCAATGGATTTCCTGTTGCTCACTTGCTTCTTCCCCCAAACATCTCTTCTTCAAAGCAATAAGCCAGTCTTGGCTCCCTTCTACCTCATTGGAGCAGGAGGTGCTTCAGAAGACCTCAGAAGTTATCCCCTTTGTGTCTGCCTGAAATGGCATTCAGAAATACCTGCCACAATCATAGGAGGATTCTCAGCTTGGAATCTCCAAATACCTTTCATTGTGGCATCCACTGCCCTTTTCAGTATTCAAGGGCTGCCCTTGAAAAGTGTTCAGAAACTTCATTTGGTATGGAACAGTGCAGCCAAGGTGTTGACTGGAATGGGCTGTAAGGACCATATCACTCCAGTCTTGATTCACATTCACTGGCTTCCAGTTTGTTTCTGGGCACAGTTCAAAGTGCTGGTCTTGACCTTCACAGCCCTATATGGTTTGGGACCAACCAGGGCCGGCTCACTCACTAGGCGGACTAGGCGATCGCCTAGAGCGGGCCGGCTCTTAGGGGCACCAAACTGCACCTGGCCCCGTACTCTGGGAGTTTCTTGATTATCTTCCTAAAATGCATTCCTAAAATGCATTTATTTTTGAAAATTGGTGGGCGCGCTGGTGGTGGTGGGGCGCCAGAAGGGATCCCCGCCTAGGGTGCAAAATAAGCTGGGGACCAACATACCCGCAGGACCACCTCATCCCTTATGAACCTGCCTGGCAGTTACAGTAATCTTCAGAGACCCTGCTTCAGTTGCCCCCACCTTCTGAGAATAGGCAGGTGGTAATCCGGGAGAGGGCCTTCTCAGTCATGGCACCAAAATTCTGGAACTCCCCCCCCCCGAAGATTAATCTGTTCCCTTCTGTTACTGTTTTCTGCCAGTGAATTTTTGTTTCATCACATTCCCTCAATTATCCTTCCTTACTAACAAATATTTTATGTTCTGTATCTATTTTAACTATTTTATATGTATTTTAACTCTGTTTTTAAACTCTTTTAAAAGTAATTTTAATGAAGTATGTTTGGGGGAGTTATTTTAATGGTTTTATAATGAATGTTTTAAATCATGTATGCTTTAAATTGTTAGCTGCCTTGGCAGCCCTTGTAAGAGTAGAAAGGCAGGATATAAATTTTGTAAATATAAATAAATAAACTGTCCACAGGTGGACCTCTGTGTTTCTTGCCCAGTGAGTTTCTTGGGTGAGTGAAAATTTGAACTCCTGACTCTTTGGTGTGCATCTACCATTTTATCCACTGATCTATAGACTCACATGGCAGGCTCCATCCTCCTCCTGCCTTGCACACAAGGGTAACAGCTAGTTCCTCAGGCCCCTAATATAAGCTGCCTTGAGCATATGGATGATTTTCCACTTAGGGATGCCAACCTGAATTGATAAAGCAGTCAACCAGATAATCACTGGAGTACCATTTTAATTGGTGAAGCTACAAGATAAGGGCATGCTTGTTCATGCTGGAAGCTGTATTGATTCTGTGTTGGATCCCCAAGCATCGAGAATAAATCCACGTTTTCAAGAAAAGCAAAATTTATTTCAAAGCATTGGAAAGACACTCAAACACGTTCTTTGTTAGAACTGACTACAAACAGTTAGGGCAAGCATAATAAAGGGATTTGAAACAGATACAGAACCAATGGGTCACTTTCCCGCTGGCGGGTGAAAGGAAACGGTTGCGCGCTCATTCCCTGAGAACCAGGCTATCTCCAGACATAACACAGGTGCAGTTCTCAGGCTCTAAAAGCAACAAGCTGGCAATGAAGCGAACTCCCCCAGTACGTCCTCCAGTTGTTTGGCTTAGGCATTACAGCAGAGTAAAATAATAGCACACAGGCAAAGGGGGGGGGTAGCAACTGTACAGAAGTACCAGCAACACAGAACACCATGGCAGCTTGCTGACATACTGCCCCCTCAAAAATACACATTAACCACCGTCTCCCGGGCTGGGCGGGAGAACTCCCGGTTTGGGCGGGAGACCTCCCGGTTTGTCCGGGAACCTCACGTGGAACTCACGAAGCAGATAAGGGGCCCGAATATCCCCTTCTTCCACCCATTCGCGGTGCTGGGGTCCGAAGTCCACCCATT